GGGTCTTTTCCGAATGATATGCATCTTTACTTGTGCCTCCTCCCGCATGACCCATCTAGAGCTTACGGGTGACTTGTCCACTAAAGAGTTCTTTCAGGCATTTCTTCGTATGATCAGTAGACGAGGGCTCTGTAGAACCATCTGGTCTGACAATGCGAAGACGTTCAAATGCGCTGACCGTGAGATCCAACAGTTGTTCACACAAGGGTCATCTGTCAATAAAGGATTGTGGGACAGGATAGATCAGGAAGAGCTCCAGGCCAAATTGACCTCCAAGGGAATCAAGTGGAAGTTCATCGTCGAGCGCTCCCCTTGGCATGGCGGCTGGTGGGAAAGGCTGGTGCGTTCAGTGAAGGAACCTCTTCGCAAGATCTTGGGCAAAGCGCTGTTGTCCTATCAAGAGTTGGCCACCATCCTTACCAGGATTGAAGCCGTTATTAACTCGAGACCGCTCACCACAGTAAGTGACGACATAAGAGATCTAACGCCTATAACACCAGCTCATCTTGCTATTGGAAGATCCCTGTTTAGCTTACCGGACTTCGTAGACGAACTTTCAGCAAACAAAAGCACAACGAGGCAGCGATATCTGTACCAGCAGAAGCTTATTAACCATTTCTGGCAACGGTGGCGGGGAGAGTACTTGCATCAGTTATCCGTTAGAAAGAAGTGGGTGAATGAACAACCAGCCCTCAAGATTGGAGATGTAATGCTGATTTCTGAAGACAAGGTGTCGAGAGGAAAGTGGCTGATGGGAAGAGTTGAAAGATTGCTTCCTGGAAAAGACGGCTTGATTATGAAATCGATATCTTTTGGATCAAGGCTTGATGATTCTAAACATAAATGCAATTCTCAACTTCTCAGATTTCTTGATTTAAAGTTCAACAAATACTTATATAGTTCAAGTTCTAGAAGTGAATTGTATTTTTGCAAGAAAAAAAAAGATTCACTCTTCAAAGATAAAAGATAAAAGTGAAACCTTGGACACTCTTCACCGCTACAACAGTCCATCCTGGTTTTCCTGGCAAGTCCAGCGTCAAGCCTCGTGACACCACGCCAAATGCTCCACGCCCAATAACCTTCTCTAAAGTCAGCCTTTTTCGCGGTATTTCCCATTCAGGATCACCCGAGAAACATAAGGTGTAAGTACCATGCCGAACGAGCTCGTTAGTTTGCAAGGACCCTCTGGGAGTAAATAAGGTCAGACATTAGAGTTTACTTAGCAGATATCGGTCCCGGTGAAGGTAGTTATGACGGTAAAATTATTCGGGTTGTAGATACAACCACGAGAAATAAACATTCGGTTAGAGCGAACTGGTTGCTATCACTTTCTGGTAAAACTTTAAGAGCAGAAGAAGTTTAGAGTGCATTATTCAGTTTAGAGTTAATACGTGTGACTCTCATCGGCTCCTCACCTGAAATAGTAAAATTAATTTACGTTACTCACAGTATCATTAACTAACAGTATACACAATGTATCAGTGATGTCAAACTACATTCATTTAGTCAGCTGTAAATCCGATATGTACTCACATCCTCGATGATTTGTCTGTTCTCTGGATCTTTTAGCCATATATTGTTGAACGAGAAAAGCGAAAATAGTGATCACAGCTAAGGCCGCTGTTATGGACAGGTATTTGCCGTGTATCTTTGTCATCTGTTTGCGAGAAAGATGCTTTCTTAGACTCTAACTTTGCAGGATAAAGTAATTGGTACTAAGGGCCTTGCTTGATAATGACAATGACCATATAATGACAATAATGACAATAATGACCTCTCATCACTAAATAAGCGTAACGAACTCGTATCTTCATGCCGACACAGAAACAAAGCGTTGCTACGCAACAACTGAACTTTAAAGTTTTTAAGTTTACCGCGCATTATGCAAATTTTCCTAGTATATAAACGATAGTCACATGAATATTCTTTCATTAAACCCCTGAAGAGTGAAGCGATTCACGAAACAGGCTTGTCGGGAAATGTAGTTACGTCCTTTTTTCCTCTCATAATATTTATTCTGCTCTGCTTCAACGTATTGAGCACTGTTCCACGCGAAAATCGACTTGCAGACTTCCTATATATATATATATATATATATATATATATATCTCATATCCTCTCTCTTGTCTTTCTCTCTGTGACAAGAGGCGAGGAAGAGAAATTTGCTACTCTTTGAGTATGGTATGCAATTCAATTTGCAGGTACACTGTAACTCCCAACCTCCTCCCCCTTCTAGTAATTTATCATGAATCTCTTCAGTTTGACATCCATGTACA